TACCTAGCATAATTGATTATTTTTCATTCAGGAAGCTACATGCTTTCTAACATTTTATTCAAATACATTTATGAGTCTTCCTGTCTTAGTCTGATAAAAAAAAGTGCAAAACGATGAGTTGTGATGTCAGGCTAAATGATATAATTATCTTTTTGGCATATATAAAACATATTAAAACATATAAAGCAAATGGATAAGCAATCTGTATCATTAGGAGTAAGTACATACATATAGACTGATTTTAATAAGAAGGTACACAGAAATATTTTAAGCCTATATTACATTATATTATGTTCTTTGCTGGCTTTTTTAGTGATAAGTAAAGTATCTTCAAGTATCTTTTAATAAGCTTTCCCTCTGTTGTGACAGGATTACTACTGCATATCTACAAGTAAACTATAAAAAGATTTCTTAAAAAAATGTCTGACAACTCAGTTCTCGGATGTCAAAGAAAGAAATTTATAGATGTGACAGAGGAATTCAATGACAATGCAGAAGCACCTTTTTATCTGGGAACCTTTTCCTCTTTTTTATTTTTAACCTTAGACAGTCTCTCCTGGCCCTGAGTGAAATATGCAGAAATTGAAATAGAAAAACTGAACAACAGTTCACCAAAACTACTATCCAGCTGCTGGTAAGGAAGAATCAGTGTCTTCAGGAAGGTGCAGCTGGCTTATAATCACAGAATCACAGAATTCCAAGGGTTGGAAGGGACCTCAAAAGATCATCTAGTCCAACCCCCCTGCAAGAGCAGGGTAACCTAGAGTACATCACACAGGAACTTGTCCAGGTGGGCCTTGAATATCTCCAATGTAGGAGACTCCACAACCCCCCTGGGCAACCTGTTCCAGTGATCTGTCACTCTCACAGTAAAGAAATTTTTCCTGAGGTTCACATGGAACCTCCTATGCTCCAGTTTACACCCATTGCCCCTTGTCCTATCACTGGACATCACTGAAAAAAACCTAGCTCCATCATCCTGACACTCACCCTTTACATAAGGCAATATTCACAAAGGAATCCTCTCCTAATCCTAGACAGCAATTGTTTTGGAACATGACATATTTTATATTATCTATGAGTCTTAATCCTACTATATAAGTTCCTACAAAAGAAAAGCATATTGAAAATCAGTTCAAGTCCTTCAGATCAAATCCTGACCCCATTTAACAGTAGGTGCTATAGAGGATATATGAAATTTATGCCCTACCTCATAAAGAATTATGTTTCTGCTGTTACCTTGCTAGCCTTATTGGGCAACAGTTATGACTGTTGAAGTCACATTGCTCAACTGCATTCTGTGCTCTTTATATGTTTCCAAACAAAGGGAGAAAAAGGGGGATATTGTTGAAGATCTACCCAAGCACCTGTTACCTAAGTAACATAGGGCCACAGGAAGTCTTAACAGACCGCCTTTTCTCAGCCTTATTATTCAACCTTGTGTGGAGAGCTCGGTTTAGCCATGGCCCTGAATATGTCTTCTAAATATGTGACTGAAACTTTATAAGGTACGTGGTACATATTAGAGGCTGGAGACAAAAACAGAATTTTTGTAAGTCTTTGTCTTTAGTGTACAGTTTGTTTATACTCTCAGCCATAGTTATCCAGTGGCAGTATTTTAAGTTAGCTATTTAAGATATGAAAAATATTTTATTTTGGTTGGCCCATGACATGTGATTGGCCACACTGTGAGGCTGTCGTCCCCCATGACCCATCAATGATGGTATCTTGGTCTATTGTAGACCTGATGCAACACTTGACAAGTTGCAGGAAGGATGACAGTGATGTCAGCTGCAGAAGAGCAATCTGGAAGTACCACTTGATTTGATGACTTCGCATTCTCAGTATTCAAATTTAATTTTTTCTTTCATTAGGCTACCATTCAATAATCTTTTTGAACCAAGAATTCCTGATAGTTTAAGCACCCCATGAAACCTCCTTATCAATATTCTAGCCATGCTAAAGCAATTGCTATGCCTTCTTGGAGAAAATTATGTTTATTTTGTCTGCAAACACTTTTATCCAGGCATCATATACTCCTTCTATAAACATCTCATAACTAAGCAATAACATCTGATTTTGTGAACTATGAATTTAAGGTTGTGTTTATCCCAAGCATAGCACTGATAAATTGTGCTAGTTTCCTGAGTATTTTATTTCTACTAGAAAATGGATTTCTAAACAAGTGCAGTGACTTAATTTAAAGTTTATTTTTCTCGTAATATTCCAAGTCACATAATACTGTCCAGTGTTGCTCTCCAAAGAAATCTTTTTTCACCATTATGAAGTCACCAGTTTTTTTCTACAAGGTATAGCCCAACTCCAGTTTTTGTGATAATTATACTCTTGCATGATGGAACTAGCTTCCAACCTTATGTCTTGCTACATGCCTGGGGTAGACTGTTACCACACGCAAAACTTATGTTCTCTCTTGTATGTTTTCCCCATATAATTTTGTGAAGAAAAAAAAAAAAATCAATCTTTGCAAATTTTACACATATCCAAAGAAAATATTCCTTTAGGAGTTCATTTCTATATAGTGTATGTATGGAATTTTGATAGATATTAAAAATAAGTAAAGAGCAATATAATAATATATTTATATTGCTCTAATACACTGGAAGTAAAATTGTTGCTGTATTATTTTAAATGAGAATTAATTACTTATGACTTACACAATTTTTATTTCCTAAGCTCTTGGATATAACCAGTTACATTCATAAATTACTATACTATCTTTTTAATGATATAATTCCAGAAATACTTATTTTCATCCCTATTAAAAACAGTGGTCAATTGAACTATTGTTACTTTTGAGATTTTTGAGATGCTATAATTTTTACTGTGGACACAGAGAATGAATACTATAGTTAAGGTCCTCCCAGTGAGACTGACCTTTAAAAGGAGCTTAGAAACCTTACCACTCTGGATAGTTGCACTTCCTTGTTCCTGCAGGGACAGGGTTCTGATTAAACTTCTGTTAACTTCTGAATAAACAAGTCAGCTGCAGGGTTCATAAGGTCCAAGGCATTGATGGTCATCTAGACCAAATATTTCTTCCAGGAAGAAAATTAAAGCAAGTGTGATCTACTGATCCCAACAAATCCATCCTGCAGCAGACAAAACACTTCTGAATGTAACTCTGGGGTTTCCCCAGAAATAGTAGTAATCTTCAGAATGGTTTCCCCATCGTCATGGTTTAAACCCAGCTGACAACTAAGTACCACTTAGCCACCTGCATGCTTCCCCCCACCCTTTCCTCACAGTGGGATGGGGAGAAGAATCAGAAAAAAGGTAAAATCCCATAGGTTGAGATAGGAACTATCTAATAATTGAAATAAATATAAGTAATAATACAGCAATGGTAATAATAATAGGAAATAGAGAGATGAAGGAATAAACCCTGGTCCCCACAAAAGACAAGTGATGAACAGTATGATTGTTCAGCACCTGCTGACTGATATCCAGCCTGTCCCCAGGCAGTGATCGGCCCCTGCCGGCCAACTCCCCCCCGTTTGTATACTGAACATGACAGTCTATGGTATGGAATATCCCTTTGGCTAGTTCAGGTCTGCTGTCCTGGCTGTGCTACCTCCCTGCTTCTTGTGCATCCCCTCACTGGCAGAGCATGAAAGACTGAGAAGTCCTTGATCAGACCACTACTTAGCAACAACATCAGTATGTTACCAGCATTGTTTTCAGACTAAAGCCAAAACACAGCACTGCACCAGCTACTAGGAAGAAAATTAACTCTATCCCAGCTGAAACCAGGACACACATGTAGTAAATTAACCTGAGATTTGTTATTTATTAATATGTTATTATAATATACATATGTAGTATTATATTTTTATGTTGTATTAAGTGCTATAAATGTTGCTATAAATAATAGTATTTATTTGTACGTCATTTAATCTTGTTCAGATCTAGGCCATTTCTAGAATTATTTTTTTCAGACTCCTAAAAAGAAAACATTGGTTCTATGTTAGCTGGGTCTCCTTGAGAAATGGAAAGAAACTTGCACCTATCTTACAGCTCTCTCACAGGCACCTTTAGAAAGCAACTCATTTGGTCTTCTTTACCTCCAGTGACATCAGAGTCAATGTAAGCAACCAGCTTAGTCTAGAAACCTAGCTCTTTGATGGCTGAGGTTATTACATATGACGAATCTTCTCCCAGTCTTAAATGCAGGTTTTTCTTCTCCTCCCCCTGTAGTACTTACTCATGGAAGTATAAAATGTGAGGCTTAGAATGAGGATGCTGTGTTTGAAAACATTTCATGTTTATTTGACAGTATTCATGTCAGAGGGTTCTTTCTTTTCAAGGAAATATCATAATTTATCATCAATGTGTCAAAAGAATACAGAAGAGCTGTATTTTCAACAAAGAAAAGGCAGAAAAGTTACCATGCTGGAAACAATAAATTAATTTGTGGATCTGTGTTGTTATGAACACTTGTATCTGTAGAACCACAGCAAGTGCAGGGAGCCATCCTGAACCTGTATGAAAGTATAAGTGTTGTACAGCTTAGAACTTGTCTTTAACTGCATATGCTTAGGAAGATAATGGTTTCTTACTGACAAATTTCTTACCACTAGAGGGCTCAAAACTGCTGTATGATTTTATGTATGAATACATGCATAAATGTATATATACATACACACACAATGTATGATATGGGTACGTCATGTGCATATGTTTTATTTGTGTGTATGCAGGTATAAAAACACATACATGTACATACCTATACCTACCTATATTTTAGCAGATGATCTATTTTAAAGGTTTTGAACTTTTAAATGCAATTCAAACCTTAAAGATTTTTAATATAACTTCACAGTTCACCATATTCTATATAAAGGTGAAATGTTTTTTTAATTCCTGTAATTACAGTTTTTAACTTCGCTCTCAGATGGCCAGATTTACGTAGTATTTTCATTTCCTCAAATTGAACAGTGAAAACAATCACAATAAAATACAGCTCAAACTTCCATGACCAATGTCTGCTGTCGCCGTATGTTTTATTAAGATATCTAGATAACATTGAATAACATGGGCTTAGTTCATTTTTTCATAAATGACTTTCCACAGAATGTAATGCAGTGCTGCAGAATCTATTATGCCAAGCATTTTTGTTTGATTATATGACATATTCTCTTGGGAAATCTTAGAGGCTCTAAATAAATAAAATGTTCTTGGAAAGCTGACTGTTTTCTTTCATTAATGTGACGATTGTAATGGCTTTCAAACATTTTTAAGTAATGCATAATCTTTGGAGATAATGCAACCCATATACTCCACAGTATAACAATATAATAATGAATAATTTACCCATGCAGTCCAAAAGATAATTAACACAATATTTTCAGTCAGACTTGACATACACAAAAGCTGGAGGTATCAATATTTTTCACATGTTGGCAAAGTTATTTTCATCTAAGAAATCTGCTCAAGGAACAAGCATTTAAAGAACAGTGACGTTTCAGATTACCATGATTAACAATAATGTTTGTTGTTGTAGAAATGGGAGCACAGACACCAAAATGTTTTGCAGACATTTATTGCTGTACATAATACTCAATTTTGAATAGAGTGTCTTTGGAATTTTTATGAATAGAAAATTGTGGAAAAGCACGTGAAAAGAAGAAGATACTCTTTTTGCAGCACTTCAGTGCTATGAATATCTGCAAAAAATGATATTAAATAGTATATTTCAATTTGGCTGGACTACATGTGATTACTGCCTACATTATCAATAGTACAGTTAGATACTAACAATTGAATAAAGCTTTAACATATTCACCTTCTCTCATCAACATCTTACGTATGTTTTCTTTAACTGTTAAAAGTTGTACAAGGTGCTGCACCTTCATAAAATGGTAAAATCTTAAAAAAACACAACAAAATAGTTGGGGGTAAATTCAGACTACTTAGTAAAGAAATGCAACTCTATCACCATGTACAATTGGCTAAATTTTGAAAGTACATCTTATTATAGTCCCATTTTGGTTAACATATTTACTTTAAAATGAAAAATATGCACCTAAGCCAAGATATTTTTGCTTTAAGAATTTTAACTCCTGCATGGTTTGCTTTAAAAATTTATCTTTACTGATTGTGCATGGTGTTAGATTGGAACTATAATGCTCTATTAAAAAAATAACACTTTTTGTGAGCTTTTTCTTATGTGTAGTACATTCTTAACTTACCACTCTGTTATCTGAATTTCTGACAGATATTAAAAGTGGTTTTGTTATTGATAGGCAGGGTTAGCTGGCATATTCATCACATCACCTTTGGTTTCAGGAGTAAAACATCCTTAAATTGATAACATAGAGTGGATTGCATTGAAACTACTTTTACTAGACTAAAATTGTAAGTTTTTTACATTTAAAACACATTTCCATAACTGGAAGTTCAATTTGCTTAACCACAGCCTACTCAAGTCGATGCAATTATTCCAGAAATAAGATTCTGTGCAGATGGAGTTAGCTGTTCCATTAGAATACTAAGAAAAAACATTGGACTCAATGATCCTTATGGGTTCCCTTTGAACTTGAGGTATTCTATGATTCTGTGATCCTGTTTCTGTAATCCTCCCATGAGAGTTTGTTACTCTTGAAAGAAATAAGACTTAACTGACCACATTAGCTGCATCTGTAATTTTCTTGGTAGTTGATAAATCACTACTACCTTACATCTCACCAACCTTTCTAGAGGAAAAGCCAATCTCAGTTAATGTTGTATAAATATTTATTAATACCAATCACAATATGAAAATATCAGTGATTTTCACAAAGATCCTACTTACCACAAGATTTGTTCTGGGTTAAGGAACTGCAAATATGACATCTCTTATTAGGGTGAGAATTAGAACTCAACTAAATAGGTGATTTTTTTTTCACCACTCTCAAATGAAGCAAGAAACAATTTTATATTGCCAGTGTTCTACACTACTTTTGTTATGCTAATTAAATGCATTTTACAATTAACTCTTGCAGCTTTTCAGCTCTGGGGATAACAGCTGAATAGATTGCTTGTAATTAGCTATATCCACAGGCCTCTATCAATGTAGAGATATCTCCAGAAATAGACTTGTGATTAATACATATTTCAATGTATAGAATGGAAAAAATATAGTAATATTACACCAACTTGATGACAAGTTTCGAAGTCTGAGTATTCAGTGTTTTTTCAGTACATACGTATATGTTAAAGTTTTATTCATAATCAAGTCAGCAAAAAGGTAAATCACGCTATGCTCTATCCTAGTATTTGCTTTACACAATTTATAGGATTTTTTTTTTTTTTGGCTGTTGAATTTCAACAGAACTGAATATGCCTCATTATTTGGAGAAAATAAATGCTGTCCAACTCATTAAATCCAGACGAGGTGAATATATTCTAATTCTATTTAGAAGTGCATTATCCAGGAGCCATTTCCTCCATCAAGCTTTAGACATTTTATTAGCTAAAATAGTCAGTCTCCATATGCTCTCTCTTTCACCAGTGCAGAAATTTCCCACTGTTGTTGCCTTTGTTTAGGTAGAGCGCCTTAATGTGGTTTATTTCAGATACTGTATAATAACAAGGCAGAAAGGCAAAGAGGGAAAAGATAGAATTTTAGTTTCAGTACATTATTTTTAACCTGTTGGCAACAATGAGCTCTAAGGTGGGAAAGGATATGACAGTTTTAATGAACTTTTTCATAACTGGACAAATTTTACCTACATAATGTCTACATGACAACATAACCTTACAAATGAATGGCCATCACATATTATTTCTGTATCTGTCACATCAGTCTTGTAAAATATGAAATTTTCTTCTAATTTTTCTATTATGAGTACATAACAGATATGAAAGTTGCCAAGACTTTCTATTATAAACATGCCATTTTTGTCCAGTGGCTGTTGTTACTCTATGCATCTCCTGATCCATGAATATGTTCCACAATATCACTGCCATGACACCTTATTAAGAAATGCAGGGAATTAACTAAACTTAAATGGTTAAACTGGCAAATATAAGTTATGAGACTAAATGCAGCTTTTTATAAACTTTAATTTTTTTTTAAAAAGCATGTTAAATATAGTGTTTAAGGCATTAAATCCCTTTATTATGAACATATACAAAGATTAGAGTTCATTTCCATTTTAAATACTTACGAACAGGCATACCAAGTGGGGTAAACATGTAGGACAAGATCCTGGGGCTTGGGATTACAGGGATCTAACAGCAGTCAATCCAAAGCAATGACAGCGTGCAACAGACACAGGAGGTCCACTTGTAAATACCTTTGTTGTGAGCCATGATGAATCTGTAAGCATTGCTGATGATACACACAATGACCCTGTTTCTGAGTTTTTTTTGTGATTTGTACTTTTTTATGGGCATTCATCTCAGCTGCAATGACTCAGTCCTGCAGTATTTTTATTTTTACTGTTTCAACATACAAATTTTTCTTTCATAGTGCAAACAGCTTAAACTCCAAATGAAAATAAGGAGAATACAAATCTTTAGAAGTTTTGCAGTAGGAGCCTTCCTACTTGACTCCTACTTACAAACAAAATACTTCACAGAAAATTTAGGAAACATAATCAGGCTTTTTTAATATATAAAATGCATCACTTTCTATAACACCATATTTATGCATGTTTACTATCAATATAAAAATAGCTATGTAAAGATTTTCACCTCAATTTGTGATATTTAACTACTGCAAAGTATGTAGTTTTCACTTTTGTAACTGCCAAATTTTAAATTATAAACCAGCCTTTATTTTGTTCATGTATAATTTATTAGAAATAATGTTATATATTCCTAAATACTTTACATATATGCTATTACATATCCCCAAATATTTCTATAAAAAACTCAAATTGCCTGTCACTAGAAGAAAATCTCTCTTAATGCTTGAATGCTTGGAAGTTTATGTTAATATATTTTATATAGTGTCCTTCCTCTCTCCACTAGTTTTCACTTGTATAAACCCCTTGGAGTCACAGAATCATAGAACAGTTTGGGTTGCAAGGGACCTTAGAGGTCTGTTCCTTAGAGATGTAAGGGATCCTCAGAGGTCCCTTAGAGAAGGGACCCTACCATGGGCTGGGACACCTTCCACTAGACCAAGTTGCCCAAAGCCCTGTCCAGCCTGGCCTTGACCGCTTCCAGGGATGTGGCATTCACAACTTCTCTGGGCAGCCTGTTCCAGTGTCTCACCACTCTCATAGCAAAGAATTTCTTCCTGATATCTAATATAAATCAAAAACTTTAAACCACTCCCCCTTGTCCTATCACCACCGGCCCTTTGAAAAAGTCATTTTCCAGATTTCTTGTAACCCCTTTTAGGTATGGGAAGACAGCTCTAAGATCTCCCTCAAGCCATATCTCCTCCAGGTTGAACAAGCCCAACTCTTTCAACCTCTCTCCATAGGAGAGGTGCTCCAACCCTCTGAGCATCTTTGTGGCCCTCCTCTGGACTTGCTTGAGCAGGCCCATGTCCCTCTTGTGTTGGGGGCCCCAGAGCTGGACACAGTACTGCAGAAGGGTGCTCACAAGAGCAGAGTAGAGGGGAAGAATCACCTCCCTCAACCTGCTGGGCACACTCCCTTTAAAGCAGCTCAGCACATGGTTGGCTTTCTGTGCTGCACGTCAATAGAACTGTTTTAATCTAGCAGGTCCATGGACCTCTATCTGAAGGTTTTGGGGCAAAAAAAAAGAAAAAAGAAAGAAGTTTCCAAATGCAATATAAGTCCATGAAACACTTAAAGCAATTTGTAACTTCTCTGAAAAGTGTACAGATTCAGAAAGGTGATCAGGGGTGCAGTAGAAAGATTCCCATCGATTTACTCTTTGCTTGGATAAGATTTGGTGGCCTAAGTCTGCAATAAGGAAGCAAGACAGATCTCTCGCATTGAAGTGAAAAACAAATGAAGCGTTAGTTTAGTAAGGCAGATAACTATATGCTTTATTTTGAGCATATGAGCTGTTCCATTCACTTTGGTTTAATTTAAAGTCATGCACCCACTTATAAATGTACATAGCAACTTCACAGTATAAGTCTTAATGATATGTAAATCAAAATCAGCTATATTTTGCAACTAGCGTTAAAACAAAAACGTGATTCTATAAGTGATTAAAGGAAAAGTGGTTTCACTTTTTCATCTTTCCAGTGCTGCTTTCACTGAAAGAAAATAAGATGAATAAATCCCAAACGTAATTAATAATCTGCCACCACTTCCTTATGGTCCAAAATGGTAAATAAATAATTTAGATTGACTTGTACTACTGAGGAGCTGTCTGTTTTAACCTCACTGCGCGAAGGAATACCCTTTGTCTCAAATAGGCAGCATTACGTCTAATCCCTATGCTTTTTCTGGAGGCAGATAGCCTTTGTGTGCAGCTAACACACAGATACACGTTTTCATGGCAAACTGGGGATACGTTCCAAATCATGCTGGCTGCTTTATCCTGACAGTGAGTTTTATATGTTTACTCTCCCACACCAGGAGACTTTCCAGTTCAGGGGTATTTTGTTGCAATTGATTTCAAGTGGGTAAAAACACAAAGCACTGGAATAATTAATTCTTGTTTGTGAAATAAAATAATTTCTTCAAGAACAAACTCTGTGGCATTTGCTAAACTCTAAGGAAGAATCAGTTGAAGTTCCCAGTGTAATTTAGTATTCTTAAAGGTAATAACTACTGCCTAAAATTTCACTGTGCTGAAAATTAATTTGTAATCTACTGGCATATACATTTCTATACAGTAAACTTTAAAAAGTTTTTTTAAAGATCTCTAGATTTCTACTAGGAACTATTACTATTGAAATAATATTAGAGATATGACTTACATTACCTTTCCGTTGGCAAAAATCCTACCATTACAATAGTATTATACTTCTAAAAATTGCTTTTGCTGGAATAGCTTATTATTTGGAAAACTGATTACAAATTATACTGGAGAAAAGGGGGTTTATTAGTGGTTATAAGTAGGAGAGTTTACTACTATAATTTTACTAGGATATTTTTTCTTTAATGATCTCAAGTAGTATACATTTTGGCAGTGAGCAAAATGATCAGAGCAACTCAAATTTTGCTATGTAATTTAATATAAATCTTGGTTACCACAGAAAAATCAGTACCTTTGCCTTTACTGTCTCATTCCTATTTTTCCTTTGTCCCATGTGAAGCATGTTTACTTGCACTCTTTCCATTCTTTTTCCACCAAGATTTCTGATCTTCTCCACTGAAATAACTCTCATTTGTCAGCTCAATTGTAGCAAACTTCCAGGCTTCAAAAATCCTGAATAAAATCTATACTGTAAGTGCTTTTTAAAAGTAGGACCTGTTTTAACTAGTTTTAACTTATGAGAATAACTTTAATGGTATTAAACTCTTAGAGAGCATGACTGAGCTGTAATAGAAATGTCTTTATGACCACTTAACAGGTGTTGCATTTTTCCAGGTGTCTTGGATCACAGGAAGGGGACCAGACTTGACAACAGAATGAAAGAAAGTAATTTTGCTCTTAATGTCTCTTTTTTTTACATTTCATTTATCCTAAAGTGCCAAAATTTCAGATAAATGAGACAGTGGTGGGTGGCAAAATAAGACATAAAATTGTGATACTGCTAGAGCAATTATAATAACAAAGATTGGAAACAGGTATGACGATTCCTTGAAAAATACCTTGTTCACCAGTGTTAGAGGAACACACTGTGAGGCATCTGGAGTGATAGCTGGCTGAATTCAGTTTGTAGAAAAGATGCTTCACTGATGTTCCTTTATAAGACAGTGCTGAGAGGTACACAATCAGTAATACTGTAAACTAACACAAGCTACACAAGGTGATCCAGCTATTTTCTCACATACAATGTTACATCGTTGTTTCATTACGATGGAATTACTCCTAGTTGGACCAGTTTTAATCCCTGAATTATCTATTTTCCTATATTAAAAAAAAAAAAAAAAACAAACAAGAAAACAAACAAAAAACCAACAGGGACACCCCCCCCACCCCCCTCCCCAAGACCCCTATATAATAATACTATTATTATTGGAAGGCAATTGAAATCAAGTCTTCAATATCTTTAATTCTCAGAAATAAAAGGTCTTTAAATTACTGTATAGAAAGATCACCATGGAGATCCCTTTTGGGAGTAAGTGTCCAGCTACTGGAGTTTTATGGATCCTGATCCACATAGTCAGTTCCTCAGAAGGGATTAAAAATGATCTTGTCCAGAGGCTGCCTTGGCAAATCTTTTACTCTAAGATTTGGATAGATCCTCAGGTAAACCCAAGATACAAAGAACACAAGAACTGCTTATAAATCTGGTCTATAGATTCAGGAATGAAGAACTGGGAACAATTCAGTTCTGTATTCCTAAATAAAAGTAAAAAAAAAAAAAAAAGCCTTTGCTAAGATGAATGTTGATGCAATCTTGGAGAAGTTCCACTGAAACTGTTTTTTTTTTCTGGAGAACAACTTTTGTAGTATTTTAAATAAGCAACAATTGGATAATTTAATAAATTATAACAATACCTTCACCAATAAATGATTATTGGAGGAAAATATTTTTGTAAACAGAAGGTGCAAGCTAAACACTTGATAGAAACTTCTAAATTCATAGAATCATAGAATTGTTAGGGTTGGAAAGGACCTTAAGATCATCTAGTTCCAAACCCCCTGCCGTGGGCAGGGACACCTTACGCTAAATCATATCACCCAAGGCCTCGGCCAACCTGGTCTTGAACACTGCCAGGGATGGAGCATTCACAATCTCCCTGGGCAACCTATTCCAGTGCCTCACCACCCTAACAGGAATTTATGACTAACTGTAATTTTAGTGGAGCCAAAGTTTATCAGGAATCAGAGCAATTGCTCAGTAATGAAAAACTGCCAAAGCAGTGGCATCACTTTGGACAAAGACCCTATCTGTTTTCCTTTACCTAGGCAGGATGTTTAAGAGGTATTGGTTTTCATCTAGTAATTGTTGGGCTCTGTCATACTTCCCACAATGGGAAAAAAAGTGTTAATTTTGTTAGCCATAGGAGAAATATCCATCACCTCTACAAGAAACAGAAAGTTGAGTCTTGTTCCACAAAGTGGATTTTATCAGATTAAGTGACGTTTAATAGACCTTTACCTCAGATATTCTTCAGATTTCTATTTGATAAAATATGTACCTAGTTGCTTTTGTTTATGCCTCTTCCTAATCCTTCTCATTTTTAAACACAGCTCTCATGTCTGTGGGAGAGATTAGTTTGACCACTACCATCCATACCTCCACCAGCCAAGAGCATTTTTAGAAATAAGGCTGACAAATTGAATTTGTATTCCATACCATCACTGAACTAACTCTTACTGAAGTTATAGAGTACATTAACTGGTAGGACATCACTGAAAGAAACAGAAATGTTTTCAGCAGCTAGAGATGGCTGAAAAAGAAAAGCTGAGCAACAGAATACTGATTTGGAAAAAGAGGAAAACTCTGCTGATACAGACTTTATTTTTCCATTAGTCCTTTGTCCACAGAAATCACGAC